AACCCATCACTAATGTTACTACCACTTTGTACACGGTATGAGTATTTCATCCCAGGAATTAAACCCTGAAAGAGTGAAAAAATATCAACATTAGATGTAAGAAAATAATCATGATCAACACATAAATTCCACACAACAATTTCAATACAACATCCAGCAAACATGTGAGGAGAATTGACAAAACATAAACTTAGGAAGTTCAAAAATAAGTTCCATAATTGTAATTTACTGAAATAAGAAATATTTGTTAAATTACAACATTGGTCTTACTTGAGAAGATTTTTCTACTCTGCTGAGTAAAATGCCAAAACTGTTAGTCAACCAAGTAGGGTTGCGCTAGTGGTTATATTACTATTAAAGTAACTATAAATGTTTTGACACATTGAAAGCTGGAGTACACCAGAAAGTAAGTACATGATGGCTAATATTCGTGTTCTCCAATGATAGGATATCATGGCTTTGTATCCCATTAAACAGTTTGCTCAACCACTGTGCTAATCCTTTTATTCAATCAGAGGCAGTTTATTATATTTTGTTTAGTGTAGAAAAGATAAGTAAATGAAGCCTGCATTTGGTTGGTAGCTTGAAGAGAGGTAATAGTGGAAAATCTAACTTAAAACCTGTAGACAAAAATTGGCTTGCTATCTACCTTTTTCATGCATCTGGGTCATTTAGCTCCCCATTCAAGTATTGAAATAATTTGTGTAAAAACATCAACATTGTCAGACAAAATAAAACTGATCTCCATTCATGTTAACCATTTAACTCCCAGAAGTTATCAACATGAAACTTCTCCCTATAATATCCATACACTATTCAGCAAACAGGTTATCATGTAGAAGCTGCCATCTTGATCTAGCACTAAGGTCTCATAACTAAGTTACAAGGAAATGTGTAACAGCTAGAGGGGAGAATTAACAATTAGATCTTGGGAGTTAAAGGGTTATATCAATAATGCTTTACTAGCAAGCACTGTCAGTTACTGCTGTTATTGTTATTGTTTAGCTCAATTTTTTCAAAATTTGCCCCACTAAAGCACTACAACACCATTAATGTTTTTGCTTACTGGAAATTTGGGGAACAATTGAAAACAGATTTTTATTAAAAAGTAAATACAATCCTTTAAAAATATTCAAGGTGCAACCCATACCTTACCTAAAATGATACTTTTTCTGATGTAGGATTAACCTGGAGTTTTAGTCAACGCAACCATTACTCTACACAATCATTAAGTAAGGAAGGCTCTGAGTATTTCGGTTTTATAAAACGAGTTGATAATGAAACTTAGCCTCCGTAAAGAGTTTCTTAGCTGAGAAACTCTTTACGGTGGTCAATTTACATTATTCACTCGGTTGTTACAACCAAACTTTGTTACACAGATCAAACACAATTTCTTCAGAAAGTTACCCCCTTTTTTCATTTGACTACTTGTTATATTGACATTGACAATAAATCTTCTTAAAACTGAGAAGAGGATTACCAATGCGTAGCAAGCACCAGCCTGATAAATTCGCCAAATTCAAGAACGAGTTACACAATGTGCTTTGCGGCCTTCTAAATGTATACTAATACATATTGAATCTGATCAGAACCAATTGCCAAAAGTAGAATGTTTCAAACTGCTGTTTCAAAGAAGCTGCATATTACCTTTACTAAAACGGTTTAAATCACGTGTTGGTAACTTTATCACCAATCACTTATTTACTTCATGCGATTACATAAAGCACCACACGCGATGGAAAGTGTAGACTATCGCTTGATGAATCGTCAACAACTGGTCCATTTCCTGTTGAGGCCAGTCTTAACGAAATAAACTAACTGACTGCAAAAGACCTTCAGACAGAGCCAGTACAATACTTTGTGTCTAAAAACAGTTACCATCATAGGCTATTGAAAACCGCTTCAAAACTGAAAACTTTGAAATTACGCTCGATCGATTGGGAATTAAGTCACCATTGTTTTAAAACACTTCTATGGCTCTTACCTGAAGAACAACGCGATGAATGTATTTCAGTCCATCCGGATTTCCTTCAGTAAATAAAACAAATTTTCCCCTGCCTTCAAGAGAATAATTCTTCGGCGCTAAGCCATAGAGGACGACCGAACTGGCAAACTCCGATGAATTCGAGGTCGACCACATTATTGTCATTTCACTCGGAATATTTCCGAAGGAAATGTGAATTTGCTCGGGCCCATGAGGAGAATCATACGGTGCCAAATCAGACATAAAAAGGTGTTTCACTGCTTGATGTGACGATGCTAAATTCAGAAAGGAACAGAGAGTGAGAAAGAAATAAATTCCTTCCATTTTCTCAACAGCTCACAAAGCACACAGCGTAAATAAACCGGCTCACTCGAGATCAGGTGACTCAATAGTTTGCGTGACAAAAGCTACATAACGCAAGCTTTCCGTGATGCTAGTGTGGTCTCGACGAAAGAAACATCAACCTCGAATTCTCTCTTGTCACGACATAACGTATTTTAAACTGTGATTTCCAATTTTTTTGTGAGAGCTGGCGGAAGGGGAATATTTTTAGACTTATTTGAAAGTGTTGAGCTGAGATATGAAGGTCAACGATATCAAAGGGACTTATTAGTACTTTCCTCCTTCAGGAAGATGTAATAAATCAGGAGCTTATAAACTGTTTATAATCTATCAGTTCAAAGATTCCCCTTCGACTTATAATTATTTCTTATCTTCAAATGAGGATTGAATACTTTGTCTCTTTTTTCATGTCGCAATATTGAAAAGAAAAAATATATGAAGGAGTGTAGGTGGCTCTTAGTTCCAATTTCGAACACATCTCAGTTTGGTCTCTTGTCATTAAATAAACTTGGTGTTTGGAGATAGCTGGGAATTGAAGGAAACCTCCTCTTGTTGCAATAGAAAACAAACAAAAAAGATAAAATAAAGAGTGGGGGTGGCGCCAAGATCCTATTCAGAGCAGATTTCGGTTTGGTCACTTTTCCTTAAAAGCACTTGGTTTTTCGTCCACACCACGATAGGAGAATTTTTATTTAAGACGCTGTGAACGGTCGAATCTTAGCATTAGGAGAAGAGACACTAAGGAAAAAAAGATTGCATATTGCCCATGACTCTTTCTTTAATCTAAATGACAACTACAACTACAATTTGAACTGAATTCCCGAGAAATCTACAATCCCTCGAGATAGAAACAGAGAACCATCTGAATTTTTTTCTCAAAAGATTCGGAAATTCCTGAAGTACGCCACATTCTTATAACCATTTGCAACCAAAACACCTCCATGACTTTTGACAACATAACGGGGATTCCATGACGTCACCAGATTGTCGTTAAGGTATACATTGACTTTCCCTGCAGGAAGGGCTGTTGATACGGTCACCTTGACACTGAACCACTCTGCTCCCTTGGGGGGACCGGCAGGGCAAGTACTGCTTTTGGCTCCGTCAAACTTTGGTTCGGCTTTGTAAACGTAACCTGTTTGAAAACAACTGCGAACACTGTGCAGCCTGAGAAAAAGAAATAGGGAAAACTAGAGGTAATTATGGCATATCTTAATCGACAGTGGGATAAAATGGCTCTAAAATGCATCTGTGAAGAGGCAGGCAAGTAAATTTCTAAGCCTTTTGACTAATAAAAGCATCCGAAAGCCAAATCGGATCAGCCAGTGGACTCCAAAGCTTCTCGGGTAGGTTATCGCTTCTTACTTTGTTGCACGCTCGAGACACACGTTTAGTTTTAAGTCTTTCAGTTTATGTTTCCACAATATTTCTGCAATTTTTTCATATTCCGTCCATTCCCTCGCACTTAATGTGTATTTCTGATTTTGTCAGTGCTTCTGCAAAGGAAGCGTGATAAGAATCAGGGCCAGTTTCAGTAAAGTCGGATACTGGTGGTCCACCGCCGCCTAGGAGACCTCTTATGGCCGTCTGTTTAGCCCCCGAACGGGCCATTGTTTTTTTGGGTTTCGTGGGTGTTGCCGCTTATAATACCATCGGCAGCCGCTTATCGTAAAAGTTTTTGAAACCTATGGTGAATTTAACTGATTCTCAGACTTTTCAAGTCCTCTCTGATGAGGAAGCATGGGGTGTAAGGCCCTTCTTCTTCCCATAATCTTTTGTTTACCCGTGAAAAACATTTTTACCCATAAGTCTCACTCAAAGGAATCACTATGGTACATGGAATATTACTCTGCCGAGTTATACTCACTCAAATTGATCGTGATAAATAGAGCTTTCTTTTCATTTTTTTCTCCCCCACAAATTATATTTCAGTTTTTGGCAGTTTTGGAGCTGGAATGGCATTTTGGCCTCGTCAAGCAGTTTTCAGAGAACGATGGGCAACCACTTCCCTATAGACGATTAGACAGGGCTGGTTTCAGAGCGATCAGTCCAATCATTCGAGAATTAAACTAGATTTGTGTCAGTTTAATCTATTCTCTGAGACAAAAATAGCTATTCCAAACCTGAAGTACACGAAGTCATAGTTTTCCCCATCTTCAGCGTTGAAAAATACACCTAAATGCCCGAAGTTTACTCCATCTCGCCCAATAAAGTTATACATGTCCACACTTATCTGGTAGTTCCCCGTCCCACAGCCATTCAAGTACGATACTTGACAAAAGCCATCCTTCGGCCAGCTTCCGTGATCTGCATCGAGTTTGACATACCCCGGAAATTCGACTGTTCTCGCGCATCTTTTAGAGACGTAGAGCTGAGGGTCGATTTGGAAGTTTCTAAAAAGAACCACGTTTTGGTATCCATGGAAGGTGAAAACTCCTGCACGAGCCTGCAGGGTATGATGGGTCTTGATAGTCGTCACCAAGTCTCCATTGAAATAGATCTGTGCATCTTGATCGTGAGCCTTAACTGACACTTGGAACCAGACCCCACCTTTGGGTGGACCTTTAGGACACGCTTTACTCTCGATAAAGTTCAGGTTTCCGCTTTTCATGAATCCTGTCTGATAACAGCCGCCTGCACTATGAGGTCTGTGTGCATGAAGAATGGAAAACTTAACAAATGAAATAACGTCCTTCGCCCTTGGCATATGACCCGCTTGGTATAGATGAACGGACATATCATGTCTGAGACTCATTTAGGAAAATTTCATATCGCCTATAGAGTTGAAATTTCAGATTGAAAATTGTGCCGTTCAGATGGAAAAGTTTAGATTATCCATCGTAATTAAAAGCAATCTTTAAAGCTCCATTTTGCTTGCCAAGCTGGATCCCATACTTGAGAAATCTTGGCAACAGTATACCAGTTTTCATGATACGAAGGGCCGCATTGCGCACACTCTTGAAATGGTCTCCCGAAGAATTCCCTGCACAAATGGCGTTCAGCGAGAAAGCAACACGCGTTTGAGCAACATGTGCGCGAGTAACACGCATGTGACCAACACGCGCGAGTAACACGCGCGCGAGCTAGAGATCGTTCACTCTGACCATCGCGCATTCGCGCCCGGTTAAAGCTAGGGGACAAAACTCACCTAAAGTAGACAAAATCAAAGTTGTTCTCATCCCTTGCGTTAAAAAGCAATCCAAGATGGCCGCTGTTTATTCCCTGCCAACCTGCTTGGTTGAGTAACTCTGCTGATACTGTATACGCCTGTGATTTAAGAGTCGGTTGAGCGAGAACACGACACATGGACCTTTTGTCTGAACCCATTGCGTCCAATTTGTAGTGACTACTTGAAGATGATTTCATCACTCTTGTACAGTGTGCCACCGTGGACAGGGAAAACTTGTCCCGGTCTAAATTTGAACAATTATGAAATAAGCATTAGTTTAAAAAAGTATGTGTATGGCTAAAATCAATCATCTACACGCTACCAGCTACTACTTAGCGTGTCCCTGTCATTTTCGTTTTAGATCTAACCCATTCACCTTTCTCCTTTTCAGCGCCCGAACAGAAAAAGGAAGCGAAACCCTGTAATTTACTTCCCCTATAAGAATACATCCATAGAGGATTATAAAAGCTTGAAATCATTTTTGGTTTGTATAACTCCCTGTGTCAGTGCCCCCAAATGGATATGAATATCAGAGATCCTGTTTAGGGTAAATGTATCGAAATTTTGAGTAACTTTCTGATGGTGTGAAAAAAGTTCGCTTTGGGAGGAGAAACAACGAAGGAGAAGATTAATAAGAGATTAGGCAACAGGAGTGCATAGCATGAAAATCCTCCGTCTGGTCTCTAAATGGAAACTAATAAATAGAAACTAATAAATGGTGTTTGTTTTTACTGATAGAACTTTTTGTTATATCAGTAAAAACAAATCGAGAAGTCCTAATTTGATTCTCATTACATCCCGATAACTTTTGCGTAGAAAATATTTAGCATTTTTCCTGGTTCGACGGAAAATTAAATGATAAAGAGTTTTTATGATATCCATATTGTTTTATTTCATAAGAACAAAACTAAGAATTGTTCGGATGTGCAATATTGCTCATATTATCCCCAAACGAGACAATGCCTCGTAGATACAGCTGTTGCAAATTAAACTAAAAGCATATTGAGATAGCCGTGACACTTTCTTGCTTAAGCTTATTCAGATGCGATGAGTTATGTTTGGAATTCACGTATTTGGGTGTTCAAGGATTCAAACCGTGCTGAAGGAAGACTTTCTTTTTTAAGTGTCAGTAAAGGCAGAACTCAAAGCGTACAGCTGTAGCTAGCGATCGCTTATAAATTAACAAGCAAGCACTTCGCGTAAACGAATGAAGTGATATTTCAACCGCAAGAGTACTTTGTAAGCGCGCTATCCAATATGCTTTTAGTTTTGCCTGGAACTGAAATTTTTTTTTTTTTTGAGCCCGGACAGCAAAGTATATCGTTCTCAATAGCTAATGGGAAACTACTATTAATATATGAATGAAAAATGATCTCAGTTACCATTACTGCAGATGCCATCATTCATCGTAGAGCTGGCTAGTTGTTTCTTGCTTTAACGGTAAAGCGACACTGAATGCAGGAGCCGAAATTTGTGTTTAATAAGCAGGACTCTGGGTACTCCAATAGGAAAGTAGTGCCAGTACCGTTAACGGCTCGATCATCGATAGCTACGGACATCGTTTAGTATAGATAACAACATGATTTCGAGTGCAATTTGGTACTGATGGCGATTTTTTCAAAGACAACAAAATTGCACGAGCCCGTAGGGCGGGTGCAATTTTGTTGTCTTTGGAAAATTATAAGTGCTTATTTAAGCCAAGTTTCACGAGAAATCACGTCGTTACTTGTTGATAATTTACATGAAAAACGCATCACAGAAGGTCGAGACGGACAAAATTCTGGCAGCGCTTGCGCCCTATTTGTAATCTGCACTCGTGTTGCATGAAAAATGTACTCGTTTTCAGTCGATCATACGTACTTAATTTTTTTCATGTATATTATAGTAATGAAATGAATCTTGGAGTTAACATTAGGATTAGTGTCTTTTTTGATTTCTCTCTTTTTCCATTTTCTTTGACTTTTTTCGTGGGAATATCTTAAATTTGATGCTTCTTTTTTTTGACAAAAATGAAAATATCTGCTGTTGCTTTTAAAATTAATAGGTGTGGGGGGAAGGGACGTGTAAGAGGCGAGTAACTGTCCAGCCCCACCCAATTTTGAGAGTAACTCTTGCATGCATAGCATTTTGATTCAATTTCTTTCACGAGTCGATCACGAGTACCTCTAACTATCGCCTATACATCAGGGAGACTACACTATTTTAAAATGTCTTATAAAGTGAAAATCTACGTTCTCTGTCTAGCATAAAGGAAGTATAGAGACGCCAAGCCTGAACAGAAACAATACACTTTAACCGAGTGTTGCTACTCATTGAGAGAATGCGCCTTTGTGTAGACATTCATTTGAGATGTTACAGCGAATTGCGTTACGTCACGGTCGTTATGATATCTCGTGACAGATTTAAAAGCGTAACATCACAACAAACATGGCTGGTCCTTCTCCAGTTGATAGTTTCTATGCGACTTTTCCGAGACTTAAATCTGTTCTTTATCGGAGTACGTCGATATTAGCTTTCATTCTTTTCTTCCTCACATATCAAATGGCCATTTTGGAATTCTTAATCGACGAACAAGAGAAGGGTGTCTGTATTTCAGCAAGTAAGCACTATTCGAATTTCTTCTTTGTGTTACGCATTTCAAACAGGCTTTCACTTTTTCTTCGTTTGTCTTTAATCGGTCACTTTTACAGTCTAATTTTGCTCGTTTGACACGAACGAAGAGGGAATGATTTCTTTAATACAGGTGTAATCTTGTGATGACCATGAAAACTGCATAGGAAATTGCTATTGACGAAAGAAATTACAATTTGTTAGTGCACATTCCGCTTCACGTGGCTCTTTGGGTTTTCAATTCATGGTCACATTTTTCGGGTGATGTTGCTATATAAATTTGTATCTTAACAATTTTTCTCCACTGGTGTGATGTGAACTTATATTTCTTCATTTCCAGAGAACTGTCTGGTATATACAAGCGTTGATGTTCAGCCGCTGAACAATTCGAGTCTACCGACAAACTCTACCGAGGTATGATATTTTTGCCAAAAATTTATATTTTCGTTCCTATGGTTGTGAACGTCTCTGAGAAATTTTCGCCGTATGGTACTGAAATTGCCTTTTTTTATTTGAATGCAAAGCGAATCCTCACAAATGATTGCAAATCTCTGGTTTTGTCAGTTCCTTTTCGAGTGTAATTTTTGATCAGGGTGTGCGTGGATAGTCACTTAGCAGTTTTCATCATCAATGTCAATGATGTTTGTCAATGATGTTTGTTAATGATGATGTCGTAAGGGGGAACAATTTTTGTCACAACAGGTTGAGTGATAGTTTCTGAATCAAGCGTTCAGAGTAGATGTTGGTATTAGCAGACCCGTACGTAGAGCAAGTTTGTAGTTCCCATTTTTCGCGTTGAGAATTTATTCAGTTCATCTTTACGACTTCCGGCACCAATTGCAGTTATTGATTAACCTGTGACTTCTCCCTTATATAGCAAATGACGATGTTACGTACAACAATGATGAGAAAAGCAAAATCATGATCCTAATTGTTGTCTTAACCCTTTCACCTTGTAAGAGTGACCAACATCCAATTTCTTTCCATAATATCACCCTTCAATTAAATATTGAGGTCAGGAAAAGAAAGGAAATTATTACAAAACGAAGAAGCCCTTGATTGTTGAACAAATTCTCCTTGTCAGCACCTTAGGAATTGTACAGAGAACAGTATGGAGAACATGCATACTGATCTTAGGGTATAGAGGATTAATGTAACATTAAACCTCTTCTCACATATTTGGGAGGACATTAGGAAAACCTTCAGAGCAGGATTACTATAAATAGGAGCTGAAGAATGAAAACAATGCTTTTTATTTCATTTATATTGAGATTTACTCTGTGAAGTACTATCAGTAATGTCTCTGATTGGATGAATGATGTATTTTCACAATCATTTGCTTGGTACTTCATAGTGTAAATAAAAACATCATACCATGATAAGTGCTTGAACAATTTTTACTCTATCACTTGATGCATAAAAAAATGACTTGTTTGTTTTCAATTGTATGTTTTCTTGATGCATCATACCTTGTAAATAAAAATCATTCTTGGTCACTTTCCATTGAATAATCTCTATGTCCTTACTGCTTGAAAAATTATCTCAACTTACTTGAAAATGGCAATAGTGATTTTCATTAGGCTATATACATTTTGGCCCCAGTTTCCAATCATGCTTTCATCAGTCAGGGTCATTCTCAGAAGTTAAGATTTCTCATCTCTGGTCATGCTTGAGTTTTCTCTGCCTAGTAAAAACCTTCTAATTTATCGATATTTTATTTGCCATCAGTGACTGTGGCACCTGGAGTCAAATTTTTCACTTTTTTTTTTTTAACGTGTGATGAATGCTAGAGACACCAGGTATAAATGTAAATACAGGTAGATGAATAATATATACCAGTAAATAGGATATACTGAATATTATATTCACTTTGATTGGTTATCAGTAGTGATCTATTATAGGACTGATGCTTGGATGATTTTGCCATCAGCAACTTTTACTTCTTTTGAAGAAAACGACAAAAATTTTGAGTTTGTAAAACATATTTCAACAGAAACTTCTATCATCTTCAGTTAATTACTGTACAAAGCATTGGAAGTTGAATTTATAATAATTAGAAAAATGCTAATTATGATAAATGGTGATAACAAGAAAGATGCAAAGCATGAAAGTGTGAGAATTAAAAGGATAGTTTTAGATTGAAATGAAGTAATTGTTGATTCAAATAGGGTTGTTCTCTTTGAATATGAATAACCTCTTTTATCTTACGTTGAAAACTGGTAAAGGCATGATCCAAAACATGGAAGCTATCTGCTGAACACAAAGCACGACAATGTTCAGAATCTTGCAGATGTTTGAAAGACCCTTATTTTTAGTTATATGTCACAGAAGACTAACATCCACTTATATGTATATATGTATCTATATAGAGTAGATGTTATTTGATGGCTGGGAGGTCGGTATAATTAAAAATTTTGACAAAGGTTGTGCTGCATTTTCAAGTCACAAAAGCATTACTGTGGCTGCGAGCAGAGTAAGGAAATTCTAGACTGCCTAAGAACCAATCAGATTGCAGGATTCATTGGTTTGACCTCATGTCAAACTAAACTCCCATTATCATTGCTATTAATATTATTATTATAATTATTATTATCACTATTATTAATTTCATTAGTATTACTAATTTTTGTCTTTGGTTAACTTTTTTCAGACTAGTACTGACCCTGTGGAGAAAGTCATACTTATCCTGGTTACAACACATACAGTCTGCATGTTGTTGGGAACTTTGATCCTAGGACTTGCAGCAGATGCCAGTGGTAGACTGAAGACTCTCCTTGCTTCTGTTTTTGTGATTTTTATAGCAGGGATAGCAAGTTCTCTTGCTTTTCATTTTCTTTGGATATTTATTTTCCTGCGAGGTGTGATTGGATTTGCAGCAGGTACATAAAGTTAAAGCTGAACAGCAACATTCTTAATCTTTTAACTCCCAGAGATGATTAACATGTAATTTCTCCCTATCAGATCCATACATCATCCAGCAAATCCGTAATAGGAATACTTAAACTAATCAAGTAGGAGTTTTTATCTTGATCTAATACCACATTGTTGTAACTAATTTACAATGAAATGTGTAACATCTAGAGGGGAGAAATAACAATCAGATCTTGGGGTTAAAGAGTTTCTTCTGTATGGTGCAGTCTGAGCTGACAGCTCAAGTAGTGAAACCATCATCAAAACCTAATACAAGGTTTTCCACATCCTGGGTAACCAGTTTGTTTTTGTTCTAGCTGGCGCCATTCAAATCACGTTGATTCTGGTGGCTGAATACGTCAGTTCGACTCATCGACCAACCTTACTGTCATTGTTTTGGATTACCACAACTCTGGCCTACATGTCAGCAGCTGGGCTCGCCTATGCGCTGCAAAATATCCAAATGTTCATTCTTGGAATGACGCTTCCATTACTACTGACCGTTCTTCTGTGGAAGTATGTTCATTTTTAGTACTAAAATGCCAGTTTTTGCCTGACCACTTTATAGCGCATTAGATCATATCCACATGTATTTTGCGCTATATAAGTAATAAATTATAATTATAATTATATAGCAGGTTTACCGTTACCAAAGGCGGGGCTTCTAAAATCCTTCTTCGGAGTTAAGGAATTTGATACCGCAGTTAGGTGTTGTCTTTCGGTGGGTTGAAAACTCATATGCGGACTTGAAAGCCGGGACTTTCTGATTTTCTTTTCTTGTCGTTCGACCTTTACAGGCCTGAAAGTTCCCCTTACGAACATCAGCTTGTTGTCGAGGCTACAGTCCGCCAACTACCAGCACACTCCTCAATTGAACGCCAGTTTGAATGTTGCTGAAGCCTCAGGGAGGGAATAATTTCGCATTCAACAAAAACCGAGGCAGCATTTCTTTTTTTCAAATTTACCCACGCTCCTGTGGGCGAAGCCTAATCACGTTGCTTGAAATCTCGGAGTTGTGACTCACTGACACAGTTCGTATCTAAAGGACAAGCATTTTGCCTCTCTTAGGTTCGCTCCGGAGTCTCCCCGTTGGTTTCTACTCAATTCCTCCTCCGATGAAGAAATAAACGAGGCGCATGTGCTGTTGGAGCGGGCAGTTGACGAACGTCAAAGGAAAACCTCAAAATTTAGAGACTGTTTATCGATGTGGAGAAAATTTTATACCCCACCAAACGTGGAGTCGAACAACCGATGCTTTGCTTTTCTACGACGCAAGGATCCTCGAAGAAAAACAATTGTGTTGGCGTTTGCATGGTGAGTAAAGAAAGTTCTTGAACCGTTAGAGGAGCAGGGGTTGCTGTTTGACGAATAATAATGATGATTCGCTATCGTTATATATTAGGTGATAGATAACTGCCATTCAAATCTACATGTGCCATTTTTTTATAGAAAGACATGGTACGTGTTTTTCTATCCCATTTTTTTTTTCATTTTACCATTGCACACTGTTAAGCCGTTCACCCACTGTCTATCAGGGAATGTATAGCGAGTAGCGTAGCCAATCAGTTTGCAGCGTTTGTAATAAAATACTAGGAGACTTATACTATTGATATATATCTGGTTATACCTCCCACCGACGCAGCATCACAGTTTTTCTATAAAAATTTACCTCCTTTATTCTAATGAGAGTTTTCTTTTACTACATTTGAATTGGGTTTGAAAGTCAGGGAGGTAATCGTAATCTTGGTAGTTTGAGACAAAAATGGCGGTGGCGATAATGCAAAAGCACCCTGCTGGGGAATGAAGGTGATGGTTTGGTGATTTGGTTCGCTGGCAATCAATTTGATGACGATGAAGTGGACGTTGACAATGACAATAGTATGTTGATTGTAGTGATCATGATTTTGCTGTTTGATGCAACCTCGTTCCAAGGATGAGAGAGAGCCTAGGAACTAGGTTGGTGAAGATGTCGTTGACGACAACGACAGTCATGGCGTTATCGATGAATAATGAAAGAAATAAACGAAAACAACGATCCTAGCAGTCGAGTTGTCGCAAGCAGAAACTTACTAAATTACACTAGTATTCGTTTCCTAAGGTCTAACTTTTCTTACTATTTTTCATGACAGGTTTTCCTTGGGAATATTGTACCGTGGACTGAACATAAGTTCTATACAGCTTCTTCCGAATTTCTATGCGAACTATGCAGTGCGAGAAATTGTCCACCTGCTTGGAGTTGCTTTATTCTTCTTTATGGTCACAAGGTAAAATGTTTACTCTCCCCTCCCTCATTCCCCCTGCATTTGTCTCTTACTCCCTCTCCCCGAGTTCCCCTCCGCTTCCCTCCTCCCTTCCCCCTTCCCCTCCGCCATACATGTCGTATACGTGTCATGTGTTAAACTTTTTTCAGGATCGGTCGACGTGCATGCACGGTTCTTTCCATGATGTTCGCCGGTGTTTTCTGTTTGCTGTTCTCTCTCGCTTCTCGTGAATTTTTGAAAGCAGGTAACTGACCTTCGCTTTTCTTTTGAGTGTCATTTGACCAATAGTAAGGCAATCACAACAACCAATCAGAATGAAAGAAATTATTACAAGGACTCAAAATGAAAACAAGAAAGCGCGTTTTTCGTCCGTGTCTACCTCGCGTAAAATGCTAGCTGCGCCCCTGATTCTTACACCTATTGATATAAATATGTATGCGTTTTTTTGGGCCTTTTTTTTCAGAGCGTCATGCAGTCACGTTAGTGATTCAGTTAACAGGCCGTGTATGTATGATGGCTTCCCAGGCTTCGCTCAATTTATATTCCATTGAATTGTTCCCGACAGTAGGCAGGTGATTATACTTTATGTTAGTTACTTTAATACTGATTGAGCCATACGATCCGCGGGATACGGTAACGAGGTGGCACAGAAGAGCAAATCCCATTAAAAGGCGAGGTGTATGACTGTAGCATTCCAGAGTATCGGAGATCTTGAATGAATAAACATGTTAGAGCAACTCTATAATGTGGATTCAGTTCTTAGCTTTATGGTGTTAGTTTATCAGTCTCTCCGTTAGAAATTACAATTGAATTTTAGAATACGGTTTTTACCCCTAGTTTCAATTCATATCTACAGATGCTCGGCCGTTTGCTTGGTATTTAGTTTTGCCTACTTGGGCGAAGCGCTGGCTCCTCTGATCATGAAGCTCCAATTGCAGACTCAAGCCGTAGTGCCGCTCGGTGTGATGGGACTCCTCTCTCTGACAACTGGTTTTTTATGTCAATTTTTTCTTCCAAAAACCAAAGGCAGGGAAATTGAGACCTTCGAAGATAGCACGGAAATTGATGGTTTAAAAGAGAGGAGTCCAAAATTTTATCGAAGAAGAACGACGAATCGAAGATCACAGCAAGTTGAAATGACGGAAAGTACTGAAAACACAGTCAATGATGCGAGATGCGACGAAGACGCGGTAAGAAATGAACGCCTTTTTCCGTGAAAACTTCTTCTTTTTTTTAGAAAATGTTTATCTAATGCACAGTTTTTTCCTTTCTCAGAAACTTCGTCAAAGTTGGGAGGTATCGTTTGATCGCGTGTCTCAAACCTCACATTGGGAGGTATGAGAGTAGTTGACCGTAGCCTTCTTAAATACAATACCCTCATTCTCACAAAAACCTTGTTCGCTAAATAAAAACTAAGCTGGTTAGCTCAATTGGTATTATAACGAACCCACAAAATGACCAGCTTCCAGCTGGCTTGTTAGCATAGTTGGTAGAGCACTGCACCGGTATCGCATAGGTCATGGGTTACACTTCAGTAAAGGCCTGAATTTTTTTCAGGCCTTATTTCCACTACTGCTTAAATAGTGTTCATTACTGCGAAGATCTATTTCATATTTAGTTATTATTCCTCAGTACACATATATGATTTTCATAAATTCACAGTCAGTGAGTGAAGTTTACAACTCCACGGTTCTTCAGTGAGGAACCAATTCTGGTGGCAACGTGCCATTGTAAAGATATTTACGTTTTTCTTAACAGATGCTGAGTTACGAAGACGCAAAAAGGAAGTAAGTGAGATAACCTTGTTGTATTTAAGCTGGCTGATGAAGGTAGTCAAAACAGGTCGTGCAGCAAATAAAGAAAACAGAACAGGTGTTCTGGACACCAGGCCCCAGTTGTTCGAAGGTCGGATAACCCTATATATTGAATAAATCGCCATCTGGTGGAAAGAGTAGTTCATTTTGTAATCCCTTATCCTTAGGATAGCGGTTTATCCGTTGGATAGTGTTATCCACCCTTTGAACAACTGGGATTAGACGGACACGTTGAACTTCCCGTGTCCAGATCATTTTGAGGAAAGTACCATTTCATGTGACTTTCTTGTCTAACAGTTGTTCAAAAGATGATTTGGTGCAATTGATAGTTCAATTTCATGTCTCTTTTAGAACTCTAAGCATCTCTACAGATCAAAGCTTTGCAGAAGAATCCCATATACTGTCTGAGGAAGATATCGACAAGGTATCAAGTGTCTCAAGTTTTCTTAATTCAATCAGATCTTCTGCCAGTTGGCACGGAAAATGTTTCCACCGTTTCATCTAGAGTGTGTAATCAATTCCCTATCGCGAGCGAGCGAGCGAGGAGTGAAGCGTTGACAAATCTCGCGTGTTTTTACACGCGCCTCGAAACTCTCGCGTGAATATTTCTCAGTGGCTATCTAAACCTTGTATACTCGCGATTCCATGTGAAACGAGCTCATATAATGTAACAGGGTCTGTACCAACTCTTCCGCGGTTTCAATAAAATCTGAACAAACATGGTTTTCGATACCAAAATCTCTTAACTGATTGACAATGAAATGTATATTAGTTAGAAAAGGACACTTGCTAATCAGATCCTGGCAACTTAAGGTTTAACCCGGTTTGATTGTTTTCAGCTGGCCCTTAATCTCCAATCAACAACGTGGATCTTGGCCTATAGCACATTTCAACATGGTATGAGTCTTAATACATTATATCACCGGGTCAGAGAAGTTGAAACTCCTGTTCTTCTTGTGGTCGAGGATAGTAATGGATTTGTAAGTATTTTTTGTCATTTTTTCTTTTATCGTTTGCGAGGCGGAATCAACCCTATCAAGATAAAATCCAAAAATGCGATAAAGCGTAACAGACCATCTGCAGATAAGACCTTTTTATCCAAAGATTGCCGACCTCCTAAATAAGTTTCCTCTAAAATACGCGTTTCAATGAGTTTCCTGGCGGAAGGAAGCTAAATAGTTTTAAAAGGGAAGTGTCCAGAGAACGTTTCTCATAGTATTTAACGAAATATCGATGACTTAGCCTTGGAAGCCCAACCAAATGTGCCTTTTTCTGTGGCAGGTGTTTGGTGTGTTTTCTCCAGTGGCACCCAGGATTGGTCCTGACAAATTCTTTGGCGTTGGGAAATCATTTTTCTTCACTTGTAAACCGAAATACGAGGTATGAAAACAATTGAAAGGAATTTTATTCTCATTTAATGCGGTAGTAAGCTAGTTTTGCTTTACCACACTGTCAATCAGACACAAACTCACACTAGTCTCTCGCGTATCAACGTGCCTTTGGCTGTTTTCATGTATTGTCTTTGATTTACCATCGGCTGTGTATAACATTTATGTAAATTAGTTTTTTTGTTTTGTGTTTTTTATAAGAATATATTTGCCCCGATATGATAAAAAGTTTATATCAATCTCTGAACAATCGCGAAAGGAATGCAGCATTACTTTCGTCTGTCAACAATTTTTTTTAGTTCTTCGGGTTATATAGTAGATGATCATTATATGTTGGGAAACGGGCGAGTTCTTGATTGGCTTTTGCTGATTACTGTGGTTTTAGTGTTAGGATACTCTATCAAGGTGTACTTCAGTGTTTCTGTTCCTTGTCTTTGTTTTTGACTTAGCGCATAGTTCACTTGAGTTAACAACCTAAATTTAAATTTATCTACGATGTTGATTTCCTCAGATCTATCCATGCAGTGGAAAGAATAATTATTACATGACAGGAGACAACACAAACCTTGCATTTGGATGTAGCGAGTAAGTACTTAAAATAATGTTTAAAGAATTAAACGCGGTTAGCTATTTAATCTAAGTGGTTCAGAAGCCGGTGAGCTGTGCAGAGAGGACGGCATTGTTTAAAAGTTGAATACCAGTTGGGTTTCTCTCTTTCTTTGTTGTTGTTTATGTTGTTATTTTAGACATTGTGTGATTGATGTTCAGTTCATAGTCGCCTCTCTAGACTGTTCACAGCCGTCTATGACCATCTATTTGAGCACCTGAAATAAACGATGGGAGATCCAAGGCGCTTTCCGTTAGTCTAAAAAACCAATTGTGAATGTTTATTAATACAATTTATCTCCCCAACCAACGATGTGGCACGTAAAAAAATTTTTTTACTCGACTTACCAAAGAACGGGTGCAAAGGTGACCTTAAAATAAAAAAAATAATTCATGTTAAGCTTGACTTTACGGCAACCTGAAACTTAGCCGCTGATTGAAAACGCCCCAGTGAAGAGACAGTTGATTCTATAGTTCCAGAGAGACACGAGACAATTATCAGGGAGACATGTTTATAACTTTCAGGGGGAAATTTGGCTTGTGGCTGGACAGTGAACTTTACCATGGTAGAAGCACTGCGTGTGATACTTACAACAGTGAAATGCTATCCGCGACAGAGGACTTCATTTGTATCGGAGTGGAAGTCTGGGCATTTGGTTAGGTATGGTGTGACCAACGCGCCTGCCTCGCCACCGTGTCACGCACATCGACCGTTTTAGCTACCATCTCATCAGAAATATAACAATCACAATCCCTACACATCAGAGAGATACCTTTGGATGGATCTTTGAATTGATTTGATCACGCTTTAACAAAAACCATTTATTGACCTGCACAACATATGGAAAGAATGTCAGTTTACTTATATACGTGTGTTTTCTAATTAACTACGAAATAACGCCAAATGGTAAAGCCATGAAGCAACTGTCATTCAATTAATATAGATGAAGAAATTAGTAAATAAAAAATGTTATTATCGCGATTTATATCATGTAAAAATGACCAGAAAATCCTTAAGAAATATTCACTAATTATTCTCAATTAGATTTAAGCTCACGGAGATTTCCTTTTTAAGAGTTCGATTCATTCCGCGCGCGTAAATTGATAAGCTAAGTATGTAACGTAGCCTGCGGACTAGCTCGTCTCTCGGAGAGATGCTCCGAAGATGCTCGGAACATGCTCGTGCAATGGCGCCAATGAGAGCCTGGTCGTAGACTATTTGTTAACGGTCTGCAGAATATATATATCTGAATGAACCGATAATTCTCTTCGTTTCGGTTCCACTTTTAGGGTTAACCCTTTAACTCCCATGAATGACCAAGACAGATTATAAGTTGATCCAGTACCAAATTCTCCAAACTAACATCACAAGAACTGTATGGCAGACAGTAAGGAGAATTACTCTTAATTAAAGTGAGATCTTGAAAGTTATAGGGTTAAGTCCTCTTTATAACGTGTAGCACGCGTGTAGTAGCAGTATTTTTGCAGAAATGCGGTACAAACGTGATGAAATACAAATTATACAGATGTTACATAATTTAAAGTATCAAAATAAATCGTTTATCAATTAATTTTAATATCAGAAAGATTTGAAATAAATGAGAAAATACATCTATCATGAAAAAAAAAAATTGTAAATAGTTTGTCATTATTGTGAGTAAGATTTATGATGATCTAAAGAATTACACAGTTGAACATTCTCAGATTATTACAGACGAACTGATTCTTTGGCAATAAACCAACAACGATAGAATAGGAAGAATGCGTAATTAATGCAAATATGATTAATTCCTTTCCAAGGAAATGTAAAACTCTGTGAAATACTTATTTTGTATTTAATGACGTTACAAAAGCAAAGGACGTTTATATAAATAGTATAGTGTGCGCACTGTCAAAATTTTGTCTGTCTTGATTTTTCGTGATGCTTTATCGTGTAAATTATAGTAACCTGATTTCTTGTGCAATTTGGTGTAAATGAGCACTCGTAAATGTTTCAGACTAGTGAGAAATTGCGCTCGCCCTAAGGGCTCATGCAATTTTGTGGTCTTTGAGAAATTTACCTGTCCATATTAAAACCCAATTGCACTCAAAATCATGTTATTACCAATACTAATATCTATGGACTATGGGCTGTCTAAACCTATCGTTATCACCACTACCGTGTGGTTAGATTTACAGCTTTAAATTTTGTTGACCAATAAACGTGATTCATGAAGTGTTGTGATTGTTACCCAGTTCATTTGTTTACTTGTTTCTTAAAGTCGTTGATTTTGCAATTCCTCAATAGAACACCATGTAATGTCCTCATCATCAAGCAACAAATCAAGCGCAGCACTTACAGTGTTCAGAACACTTACGAACAACCTACACATAACTCGTCAGAATCTGTTGTTGTGGCTCTTTATGACTATATTTAAAAGATAATTTGGTTTTATCAACTGAGTGGTAATGTAAACTGGCCACCCTAAATAGTTTCTGAAGCTGACGTTTCGAGCGTTGGCTTTCGAAACTCTCTACGGTGGCTAACTAACGAAGTTGACCAAACCAAATTCATCTTGCAATGCCTCCTACTGACGCAGCACCACAGTTTCTTTAGAAACTTCCGTCCTTTACGTATTTAAAAACGTCTTGTTCAGAATGGTGTCATTTGACCAAAGCAAGCCCAACTCGTTTCGTTTTCTATCTTTTCTTTAAATCGGTATCTAAACATCCCAAAGACGTTTTTTTAAACTTTTCCTTATCTTTATTTTTGTTAATCGCATGTGTGATTATGTGCACAAGACTAGGACTCCTGTCGATAAAGTGTGGTAAAGGAGTCAATCTCGGGATATCGATCGGTAACAGAAAAAAACAAAGGTGGCAGTGTCCGGAATGAAGTCTTCGTCGCAGCATTTTCACACTTGAAAGGTTCGCAATAGGAATGGTTCTTTCCAAATCCATCCGAAATCTCCCGATTTAGGAGTAATCTAAGTAAAGACGTCCAGAGGAATTGACCTTAAAATGAGGCGAGAATGGTAGATTCAGTTGCTTTGCACAATTTCATCTTGTGACCTAAGCTGACCTCTCAACCTTAGTTCCTATTCGTCTAATGCCTTCGCGTGACTCTCGTTCCGCTCACACTTCTCCTCCTTTGCTAAATAGAAATAGAGTACTGTTGAATCGGTACATGGGCAAGTTCAAGAAGGTTAACAGTATTTTTGGTCGACAATTAAGCGCAATTTATCAACATGTAGTCACCATTTGTTGCAATATCACGTTACCATTACCTTAAAAACTGCAGGATTTTACCTCAAGATCCTTCAGGTAAAGATAGATTTCGGCGACATTTAAAATCAATCAGCTATGATATAAAATTAAAAAGAGTGGTACTGATAACAAAACCTTATCTGAGTTCTTCAAGAAGGAAGCTCAACGAACAAATACGTTTTTCTTTCCTTTTTCAAAGAGCCAGTCCTTAAAGTTCGTGTTTTTGATACTCTGCTTTTTTTTATATGTGCTTGTGCGTCTGACAAGAGAACATAATAGAACATTCCATGTTATTTTCTCCTGGTTAGTGAAAATCAGCACAGAGGGCCATTTTCAGAATAGTGTAATTTTGCCAAAGATGACCCTATTCGTTTCGATACCTCTTTTCCCCCTTATATTTTTATTTCATAATCCCAGGGAAGCCTTAACAACATCCCTTATTCTCTATTGTACACAACCTGTGTAATGACGTTCAAACGAACTAGAACCCAGTCGATCCTCTGGTCCAAGGTGCGGTCGGGGAGTTTAATTTTGGGTTACCGATGGGTAACGAATCAAACAAGAGGCTGGATGGAAGAAGTCTTTTTGGCAGTATGTTCATGTAAGCAAAATTCGTAGTAGGATCGGTTGTTTCATGATCCAAATGAAATCTCCACGATCGGGAGAAATCTGAAGAAGCAAAATTAAGACAGTTTAGGCGTTTGATTGAGTAAGGGGCTGAAAAGAAAAGTTACTTTCAGGCAAGCAGACGATTTCAGTTGGAAACGAGAACATCTTAAAAACAAAAAAACAAAAAACAGAAAACTGACCCAAAAAATCTTTCTCATGATATATCTTCCTTGCGGCTTGCGAGTGGCAAAAACCCATAGCTTGTGCATGAGTCTATCGCTTAGATAATCTTATCTGTACTTTTTATTTCTACTCTCGGTCAGAGGGTTCGTGGTCACCTTTTAGCGATGAGATAAAAGAAAAATGATCAAACTAAGAAGAAGATTTAAACTTTACTTCACGCAACCTTTTTCGGTATTGCACAGAGAACACTAACAATATTTTCAAACGAGAAATATTTTATGTTGTGTCTCCCGGTAAATGTACATATACTAAATATGCACTTGGCAGCCGGAACTTTCCTAAGTTAGCTTTCATCGATCAGAATTATAGTTCAGTCAATGATACTAACAATATGGTATAAATTACAGAAGTTATCTGTTATTTCGAGAAGAAATTCCTTATATTTATATATCTGTTTGCTTGCGAAGAGATATGATTTAATTCATTTGCGAAATTCTAACATACGTCGTTAACGAGTTGTCATAATTCCTTTTCCCATATGCTTAAATGAAGTTTTTTTGGGGTCAAAAGCAACAATAGCTATGGCTAAAAAAATTTAAGTTTACTTTTCATAGAACTTTAATCCCCTGTTGAATTTTTCAATTCATTGCTGAAATTTGAATTTGGCAAGTTCAAGAAGGTTGTCGGTTTTTGCGGTCAATAATTAACTGCAATAATATTGGTTTCATTTGAAATATTCTTGGATCCATAAAAAGGCATCATTGGTTACAATGACTAGTTTTTCTTTACCCTTAAAACCACAGAATTTTGGCGCGAGATCTTTAAGGGCAAAAAAGTCAATTTAGGCGACAGTTACAATTAATCAGCTGTAATATAAAATTCAAATGAATGGTATAACACAAGCTTATTTGAATACTTTGACGCTTACGAAGAAAATAGAATTTCTTCTTTCCCTTTTTGAAAGGGCCATTCCTTAAAGTTCGTGTTTTTGATACTCTGCGATCAGAGCTAAAACTGAAAAATGACAACCTATAATTGCCCCAACTAGCCCAAAGAAGGCGACTGCTGAATCGACAACAAAATCGTACCATTGCATTCTAGAAAAACAGATTTTCATGTGGAAAATCGCCGGAAAAATAAATGCTAGACACATTCCTGTAAAGCTACCGACTAAAGCTAGATATAAACCAAAGTGAGGAACTAACACTCCTACGAATAAAGTAAAGGAAACTATACACAAGCGCGCTGCAAGCGCCTGTGCGTAGGAAATTGTGTCTTTTGCCTGGCTGGGACTGTCTACTTTACACCAGGGAAACTCAATGTTTTCCAGAGTGTCGAATGCTGTGTACACTGGTATTGTGAACGATGTAACGGCCAGTAGAAGGACGAGTAGGTTAACGCACATATGAAGTCCACCGATGGGGAGATTGTTGGTTATGACTTGGTCTGTGTCTTGAGTGAACGTGAGATATCCGATGAGGCCAAAGCTGACCTTCACTAAGGTTATGGCCATGTAGGTGACGTTCATTATAACGCTAAATTTTTGGGGCTCTTTCATGCTACCTTCAATTGCTGGCATGTAAGGCTGCGATGAATAACTCACAACAACGATCCCGACAGCTGCACCGAAGCTCTTCAGCTTGAAATCGGGTAGCGATGCAAAATTCCAGCGCTCGTGATGAAGGACGCCGTACATTGTGACCGTGAGGTAAATGATTCCTCCGATCATGACCGTCAGGAAACTTACCCACGACACTTCTTTGAGAGATTTGAGAAAGATGTTTGGAAGCAGAAGCATGGCTCCTAACGCTGTCCAATGGCTTTGATAAAGCGGCACGAAGGGAAACGTGGAGGCCAAAATGGAACCGCACAGAATCAACAGCACCGTGCAGTACGAGAGCTGTTCAAACATTTGCGCCGCGTTGACCAGGTGTCGCCCGATTTTCGGCGAAAACGCTTCTCCGATTTCGACATAGCTGTTTCGAACTCGGAATGGGATCTGCTCTGGTGAATATTCGTACAGACACTGCACCAGAATCTTATTGGTAAAGTTGGAAATAAAGGCTATGGCAAGTATGCTGAAAAGAGCCATATAACCTCCACTTTTGACAACATATGGCATGGCCAATATGGCAACTCCTTGGTTTGAATTAAAAATGTTCCAGAAAGTTTGCAAGTTGGTCGTCTTGTTGTGGTCATCCTCTTCCATGGACGAAATGGCATGATTATTTTCTTTATCTTCTTCTGCAGCTTCTTGATCGCTTTCGTCGTCTGAGACATTTCGGAGAAATTTGTAAGCTCCATAGATATGTTCTTGAATTATTGACTTCATTTCTGTCTTACCTAAAGTGCTTTGGTTTTTGTATCTGAGTCACTCTCTGTTTTGATATCACTCAGCTTTTAGCAGCATGGCGGAAAGGAATTTTTTTTCAATTCGTGGTTTTTTTGTCTCCTACCACTTTTTAAACCCACGCGCCCTCCTCAGCGGGAATTGATATCAAAATCTGGAAAATATGCTATGAAGTTCTTTTCAATTTTAACAGTAATTCTCTGATACACCGCCGCTCGCTGACACAAAATTTCGCCAGTTTTCAATTGGTCTCAAAGATGTCCCGTAAATTAAATATGCTTTCCTTGAATCAGAGCAAATCTGATTGGATTTTAAGCTTCTTAATTCACTGAAGCTAACACTCGTTATTAAAGCGTTAAAATTCTTCCAAGCTGTTCTGATGCATAAATTATGTTGATGTCACAGGTGCAAAAAATATCCAAATTCTGGGATTGTTTAAAGCCAATTTTCTAACCTCGAATGATAACAGCCTGAAAAAATTATTTATTAAAATTTTTTTTCCGGAGTATTATTATTCATGAGGCAAATCAAAGGTAATCTCTCCTATAAATTTCGACGGGTAAAAGAGCTTCTTCGTAAGGAATCATTCGAAACACTTCTGAGATTTCTGCGGCAAAAATTGTGATGTAATGTTTAAGAGTTTAGGATGACAAGTGTAAATTTGCGTAATGCTTCCAGACATATAACCTAAATAACAGCTGCTAAGTGCCGTATTTCACACAACTTTTTTCCATTAAACACCTTTGGATTAATCTTTCTTTCCGATATTAAAAATAAAGTTAACTTCTCAAAATAAACAAGTTTTAAAGCAATGAAAATCCAGTTTTCCAATTAGAATTTGTTTATATTTAAGATGATCCTTCATGAATTGTACAAATTTACGGTAAAACCTTTTTGTCCAATCAGCGACAATCTTCTGTCGGTCAACCGAATGAAGACGTAATTCTTTTTTTTTTTTTTTTTTTTTGACCTTGGGTCTTAAGATCTCCTGAAATAGACATCATTTAACAACGACCCGTCGGAAAAAAAAATACCACAAAGAATCAGAGGAACGCAAATTAAAAACAATAGGCCGCTAGAAGCGTGAGAAAACGCGAGTGACGGCTAAGTAACTGGGGATTGGTTGCAATTCATTGGTTAACAAGGTAACGCATTTTTACATCAATCACAAAGCGAAGGAAAGAACAGCAATGTTGTACCACTTTTACAGTCGGTTAAAAATTGAATTGAAATTAGGAAGTGATGCTCGAGGCAAAGGCAAGTTTTAAGTCACTGACACGCAATCGATTGCGGCAACGATAAAAAAGTTTTTTCTCAACGCTTTGCATGCTTATGGGATACCATCATTTCGCTTGAACGGCGTATTTATTAACGCTTTCACTCCAAGCAATGACAAAATTTTGATTTCTCCTTACGATGAAATAAATTTTTAAGTCGAAAGGCGATGAGGAAAGAGAAAAAAAGGGAAAAAGTCACTTAAGGGAATATTTTTTTTTTTATTTAAAACCGAATTCTCATCGTTAGAATTAAAAAGAGCCTGGGGTGTGTAATGGCGATAAACATTACGAACTAGGGAGTGGATAGTATAAAACTCATAAATTTTGAGATTACTAGTCGACGCCAACGTCTTGGAACGTTCTCGGTATCTCTTCACAGTGACTTCTTTTCAGATTCACTCCTGTTATTTAAGTTTAGCGCTAAACATAGTGCTGTGATGTCAATATCCCAACCATGACCGCTTGAATGTGCCTGCTTCATGAAGTCTGATACAGATGGAGATATTTAAAGATAACACCAATGAACATTGAGATTATGTGGTTCGTCTAGTTCAGGAAAATACAAGACCAGTTAAAATTAAGCTGTTCTATTGGTGTCGTTATTCTCTCTTAATGTCTTAAATCTGTTATCATATGACCCGTAGAGACCCGTATGGACTCGCCTGCACAATCTCATCGAAAGCAATCGTGTAACTTAATAGGTGTAGAGCCGGACGGGCTGACGTGAGCCGATCCGGAAAAACCCGTCCGTCCCTGCACTCACAATACTTTGTTGAAAAACCTTAAAGGAGAAATGGAAATATTAAAAGAGGTCGCCGTTTTTCGATAAATTAGTTGTAAGTTTTTTTTTCTGACTCGAAAACATACGGGAAAAGTACAGTTTTTATTGTAGTTTTTATTTTCGTGGTTGTCTCTCTTGCGTCCGTCTTCCGCGTCCTATTCAGGTTGACACAAAGTTTTAAAAATTTTCAACTCATAGTGGTCATATGACAAGTACGTATTATGTTACATCCATTTTAGAGAACCAGGGTAATTTCTAAGCTTCAGTACTACTTCAAGGAATCGAAAAAGTAAGGAACGTGGATGAGCAAGGATTTCCTGCCCTAAACGATTGACAGCCTCTGGACAGTCATCTCAATAACTTTTACACTCACTTACTGTTGTAAATAACCTCTGGCAATGATCTCATCAACTGAAAGGCGAGCGATAACAATCGCATTAGCTTTGGAAACCGGAAAAGCTTTCATCTAACGGGTGGGTTAATCACTAAAAGCAAAGATACACCTCCTCAGTGTTTTTGTGGGACAAGCAAAGTGCTGAGTAGAAATCTTCTTACTGTTTAATTGATAGAGTGTACAAATATTAGAGAAGGGTATTTCGCCACGTGTCCATCTAGAGCTTGTTTTAAAACCCACAGACGCTTCGTACTAAGTCGATTCATGCTCAGCTAAGACCACTGATACCCTGTCAGAGGGTCTCAACGAGGTGATAGCTTTTACGACTTACGATTAAAATTTTGGCCACTTTACGGCTAACAGTTAATATAATCCCATTGTTGTCGCCAGAATTTTCTTTTATCTTTTTTTCACAACAATCGGTTAAAATTTGTCAGTTTTTTACGCCTACGGGCTAAGTTGTTAGGCCGTTTGTACATAATACTGGAGACATTTACCCGTAGTTTACCCGTTTGACTCTTTATTAACTTCACTTAGTGTGAAATCCCCTCTATTTTAATCAATTTACCGGATGTACTCACAAGACATTGCTGTCTAACCTTTGTCCTTTATTTGCTAATCTATTGCACTACACGTCAATGATATAGAGCCGAGATATGCACAAGCCACTCACGTTCATCAGCATTTTAGTCCTACAGTATGTCTACTGTACTTTACTTTGAGTTCGATCGATACATATCAAAACTAACAGCTTTATTATTTATTGTTCTTGATGCGGGGTGGGAGTGGGTGGTGAAGGAGTGAATACTTCCCTATCTGCCCACCCTGGACAGATAATACTGTGATTTTGACCAATTTCCTTTCACGCCGAGGTGGGGGGAGGGGGGGGGGGAAGAGGGGGTAGGAGTGAATATTTCCCTATATGCCTTCCTCCTTAGACAGGTGTAGTATTGATTTAATTTTGAATTAACTGCTCTTGACGCGGAAGGGGAGGGGGGGGGGTTAGGGAGGAAAACTTCCCTTTCTGCCCACCCTGACCAAGTACATAGGACTTATTTTGAACTAATATCGCCCGAATCTGTTCGTCACTTCCTAGCAAAACATCGCCTTCGCCGTTCTCCTGAATTCTGGTATTATGATCGCGTATAATAAGGGGTTTACTAAAGAATTAGCTCCGACTAAAAAGATGATGAAGCAGGTTAAGTGCGACGGATATGTGCTAAATATCTTAGTTGTGTACCAAAGGAAAGATTGCACTATAAATGGTAACCACATCATCAGCGAGACTACAGTCACAATGAACAGAGTCACCGTCAGCCTACCTTCCATGCCAGCTGCAGTATGATGACGAGGCTGAGAACCACATTTGACTTTGATGAAGATGAGCGAATAGGAGAAAACTATAATCACGATACATATTGAGATCAATGAAGTTGCTACATTATGAGACTTTTCAAACGGATAAATACGAGGAATTACCAAGGATGTAATGGAAAACAGCGCAGATATCAAATAACTGGAGACTATTGCTATTAGGTAAGATCTTCTTTTAAGGAAGCGATGCCTGAATGGTCGAGCAGTGGCGTGCAGCCTCTCCACAGAAATAAGTGCAATGTTGACGAGCGAGGAAATTGAATAAAGCAAGCGGAGCACCCTCAAAAAATAATCTTCCAATAAACCCAGTGAATTCTCCCAAAGTTTACAGTATGTTCCAAGTTCATAAACTGTGAAGGTTCCTACCAATCCAACCAGCATATCAACTACTGCCAGATTTACGAGCAAATAAGTACTGAGCTTACGCAGGCTGCAGTTCTTCGTGAAAACAATGATGGTTATGATATTGAGCGTTATTATGGCAACGCATCCTATGATGTGAACCGTTGTCCAGGCGATGCACTCATGTGATGAAAGCATTTTCCACCTTTACTTGCTTACTCTCTTCTAGTTGATTTGTGATGTGAACTTGCCGGTTTCTTTGTTCGTTATGTTCTTCTTCTTTTTGCGCCTGATATAAACATCAACTATGTTATTTAAATTTCTCTCGGAGATAAGTCCAAGGAATGAACTGGTCATTTGTTAGGGTAAATTTCGGACGTTTTCAATGCAAATTATTGTTTATCGATTGAAACTCTTCAAATGTTCATTTGTCTATCTAGTGCGGACTAATTGAGCTTCAGCGCACCCGACAAAACTTGGATTGGTAGTTTTCTATTATCAGAATGGTTTTTCTTCGTGATATCACCGAGTGCAATCTTGTGAGGCCATGAAGATGAGTAAGGATGGAGAAGACATGTCTTGATGACAAATTTCAAATAACTGAGTGGAATTTTTTGGAATTTTTTTCAAGGCAAATGACCTCTCTTAACTCCCAAGAGGTGTACTTTCTTACCAACCTTTTTTCTTTCTTTTCCTTTCCTTTCCTTTTAATTCCGAGAAGAAGAGAAACCTCCAACAGATAATCAAGACTTTTTAATGTCGTCCGCCTTTCACAACTGAGGTGCACTTTGTGTTGTGTTTTTTTCGACCCTTATCCCAAATAAATATGTTCTGGAACAACTGAAGAACAGTTTCGAAACCTGTAAGTGCTTTTACGTAAAGAAAACGCATAATTTCTAAAGTGAACCTGATCATGGTGATAAAGGTTTGTCCCGCGAACCTAAAAATACCAAACTAAATCACAATCATGATGCGGGGTGAAAGATATTTCCAAGTCTGTTTTGACTTGTACTGACTAGCTTTTCTTCCAACCATGATTTTATACAATCATAGCCAGAGGAAGCCCGTGTAAGCAGCTAGGTTATTAATTCTTGTCGGTCCCGTGTTTGCACTATATGTGAGCCCCCAAACTTAATCAAATAAAACGGCGACTCAATTTTACTCTCAAAACGGGTTTTGATAACGTAAAAGCTTCTTTGGTTTGCTAATTCTATTTCCATAGACAGAGGAAGTGGAAAAAGTCAACGGACGCCTTTTATCAGATTCTATCGACATGGACCATTAATTATTTATTTTTTTTACACCTTTCCATTAAGAAGTCGATTACCTTTATCTGTGAGGTATAATATTCGATTAGTGGTGAAATTAAGACAACAGATAAATTGGAAAAAATGCTCTTCACAAATGAGAAAAGGGAAATTTAACTCTTTCCTCGCTTGCGTTGCTTCCTATCCTTCAACTGATAGATCCAATAGAGAAATAGAAACACTGTACTCGTCATCTTCATAACAATAGCAATCTTTCCACATCATTACTCAAACAGGTTAAGTCCGTGAGAGGGACATTAGTGATCATTTTATTAAACGTTTGTTTTCGGTCCCCATGATTTGTCTGTTTGAGTTCCCCTGACACCTTGAATATTTTATCATTTGGATCTCGCCACCCATTTCCATTCCATTGCGAGTGTCATGAGACATGCACAACAACAAACAACGCTACTATGTAATGATAGTGTATGGTACAACAAGTCTTGAGTTCAATAATAATAGATATTGCATAGAAGGTTCGAAACCACGACCATGACAGATCCGACTGAAAGGCATCGAATAAATGTGGTTGGGTATTTGATATCGTGAAATATTGAACATGACGTTATGAATTCACCTGAGTGGAAAGTAAATTGATAAGAAAATTGGAAACCTTAAAAATTATAAAAAATTATCCGGCGTGAAACTCTTTCATCAATATCTTGTACACAGAATATTAAATCACTCTGATGATTTCAGCTTATTTAGTAAGGACGAGTGAACATGGACTGTTCCATTAACCGAAAACACGCCTACACCTCAAAGATTTCATGGATACGTGATGAGTTTTGATTGGGATGTGACTTTGCCAATTGAAAAGGAATATTTCGAAGGTCTCAAATGTCGTTGATATTTTTAGTCCGCGTAAGTTTTGAAACTACACATCTTCATGTGTACACCTGTTAGAGGGTCCAAGTCATTTGATATGCACTATCAACAATTTAGCACAAAGAAAAAGTAAATTGCTCTCAATAAATGTGGTTGAAGTTAATAATTATTCGTTAGTAATACTCGGTGAATTCCATATATCTGCATTTTAAAGTTTCTTTGAAGTGAACGGGACACTTTAAACTAAACTAATTCGATGACTACCGCAAACCGCAATACCAAGTACAATGACTATACAAGAAAAGCGAAAATAGAACGAATAGGCTTATCTAACCGGAAAAGAATTTGACTAAGGAAGCCGTAAACCTCACGCATGGGATACAGGATACTGCGATAATGGTTTCACATTCAACCCGTCAACTTTTAGGAGTGACTAACATGCTTCTTCTCCTTACAATACCAAGACATTCTTCAGGAAAAAATGGTAGTGAAAGCATAGAAGCTTTAGTATCAGGGAGAAGATTTAATCTTAAAACAAAACAAACTTCTTAAATGTAAAAATGGTAGTGAAAGCGTACAAGCTTTAGTATCAGGGAGAAGATTTAATCTTAAAACAAAACAAACTTCTTAAATGTAAATGGGTAGACGACTCTAATTTAATAAAAAAAAATTTTTCTCAGCACAAATTCTGTTACCCAGTTGTCCATGTTTCGAAATGACTTCATAAGTCAGAACTTTCCCGGTAAATATCTTTAAAAGGATTTGAAAAGACTCCCAAGAAGTTCTAATTTCTTCTTATCGCCAGCATGAGACAAAGAAAACATTCTGAGTTCCCATGAAGAATCAAACGTAAGACGTTAGGTAATTTAGTTCATATTTCAGCGCCACGCTAAACACCAAAACATAAGCCAGTTGGGCAAAATCCCAAGACACGTCATCGCAAAGGACCACGTGCCCAACATCCGGGCTTCTTTTATTGATGACGTCACGGTTTGGTAGACAGTTGTAAGAGTGGATTGAAGTATGATGTTGATGTTAGCTTCGGTTTGTGAGACAATTACGTTATAGGCCAGCGAAAGGAGAAATAGAATCATCGGCGGCGATACCAAAACTAGTAGCACTGCTTGGAGAAGACGGCGACTCCTGTCAACAAAATGCGAACAAGAATTTTAATCATCATCTTAAAATGAACGTATAAAGTTTTTGCAAATCAATGACAAGTCATTATTGAAGTTTACTGATTACATCAGCTTTGAAGAGTTTCTTTGAAAAATGAGAGGAGTTCCAGCTGAAGATTTAATTTTCCATTTCAATTAGTCTTTGATCTTCTTACACTAATGGGTAATTTTTGGATGAAGAAGTAAACCTTGAGAGACTTTGAACATCAGTGATAATAGCATTAGCCTAGAGAATGTTACTGCAAAATGATATTGATTTGAGACAACAAACAATACAAAGTAAGAACGACTTTGAAACATTGCACTGACGGTACTAGGAAAATTTCAGGTAGCCACCTCGACAAAGTGGAGGTGTTGTGAAGGGGTAAGCGATGATCAAGAATAACGTTCAGCAGGAGTAGTGACACACGTGGTCGCCTCATGCTAGAGAAACCCAGGTGGATTCTGGTCAGTAGTAGTGTACGATGTTTTTGATATGCGCAACAATGAGGCAAAAAAAAATTTGGACATTTACAATTTCCGCAATTAACCAATAAATGAATGAACTACTAACCTCCTCCCCCAAGGGGCCACCAACAGGTATACAGGCACTTGGAACATGCTAACCAAAAAGGCCAGAGAGAAATTTATGGCCGCCATTGCTCCCATGAGAACAGAGAAGAGTATCAAAGCTCCACATTTGAGCATATAATGGCTTCGAAGGGTCACATGATGAGAGCTTACGTCACTCGAATACCTTCAATGGAGCATAATAGTGAAATTAGTGGCTTGTATCATGGATCTGCCTTACACCATCAATTTTCGTTTGACAAGCCTATTTTTGGCTGCGTTTACTTGGGAAATTTGTAGCTTTATCTTTGTCCCTTTTAATAGGAGTTTTAACAGGTATCCTTCCAAAGAAAAACTTGACAACGACAAAATTTTCTTGACAAGTACACTTGCCATGAAACATTTGACGGGTTTATGTAAATTGTTTCGGTTTTTTCTTTTGAGGCGACCTTGGCAAGCAATTTCACTCGTACAACTTAATTTGGCAAAGAAAGAGTTTCAGTGTAAACACGGGAAAAGCGAAGAAAAGGACGGTCGTTTCACAAAAAAGCAATTGAAATTATTCATCAAATGAAAGAAACCTAAAAATTTCTTTAAACAAAAAAACAAAAAACAGTACAATTATTTCACTGGCTTTGAAAGCCTGCCGGCAGATGCAAGGGAGCATAAGTTGAGAAGTTCTAATACAAAGTATATGCACATTCATCAAACTTAATCAAATATGACAACTTAATTTCTGTTTTCTTTAGTTTATCGCCATTCGAAGTTCACCTGCGCATTGAATCATATTTAATAAAGTGCACTCTGTCTAAAATTAAAAAGAAATACGAAATGACTCTTGCGAGTCCTGAACTAGAGAATCCAAACGGGAATACAAAGTAAACCATAAAAACACGCTTTGTAACTCCTTTTACAGCAACAGTTCAAGGATATAAATTCAGATCATTAGTGTTTACAATGGTGCTTCACATTTACAAAAGTATTTACTTAAAAATTTGCTGACACAATAACTTGACGCATGAGTTAGTTAAAAATATTTCCTCCATTTCAGAAACAGAGGGCATAAATTCTCAACTATCTTGTTCGACCAATTCATCTACAGACAAGTTCTCCTTAATCAAGTAAATACAGAGGGATTTTTTTAGAACTTTTGTTTATAAATGTAATCGACTTCTTAATGGAAAGGTGTAAAAAAATAAATAATTAATGGTCCATGTCGATAGAATCTGATAAAAGGCATCCGTTGACTTTTCCACATCCTCTGTATGGAAATAGAATTAGCAAACCAAAGAAGCTTTTACGATATCAAAACCCGTTTTGAGAGTAAAATTGAGTCGCCGTTTTATTTGATTAAGTTTGGGGATTCACATATAGTGCAAACACAGGACTGACAAGAATCAATAACCTAGCTGCTTACACAGACTTTTCCTGTTTGACGAAAGGAAGATATTTGTGTCAACAAATACGCGTCACAATATCTCGAATGGTTCTTGTGAAGCAGTAAGTTTCTTAACAAATAATTCTCGCATTCAATTAAGCCCTACCAGGCTACATGAAAGAGGAAGTACGACTGCATAGCTGCGAGCTTTTGATCATGCAACGTCTAGGAATCGTCTCCCTCTTGTCCATTTTAAGCGTGATAGATCCCATACATCAAACGGACACAAAGTTTTATCAGAACCGAATTTTCAAGCCAGCAGATGTTACATTAGGGGGTCTTTTTGATGTCCACTTCAATGGACCCAACGATGACTGCGGCGAGTTGTTTACTATGGGTCTTGGCCATGTCGAGACCATGTTGTTCGCCATTGAACGCGTCAACAACGACCCTACCATCTTACCAAACGTCACTATCGGTTATGACATTCGAGATTACTGCGAAAACGCAGCAATAGCCATGAGAATGGCTAACGACTTGGTTCAAAACACTGATGCAGTCTGTCGGGAAGATAAGAACCGCACGTTGGATGACAATTCTTCAACTGCGCAGCCAGTGGTTGCTCTGATAGGCCCGCACGACTCGGCAGGCGCTGTTCTGGTAGGAAGTCTTCTCCAAGTGCACGAAATCGCTGCAATCAGCCCTACAGCCACAAGCCACGAACTCAGCTCCAAAATGTACCAGGACTTTTTTCGCACAATCCCTTGCGATATGTGGCAGGCGAGAGTCATGGCCGACATTATCGAGCATTTCAAATGGACCTACATCGCCGCTGTCGCTGTCGACGACTCGTACGGACGTCATGGTGTTTGGGCTGTGGAAAAAGAGGTATACCGACGAAGAACCTTTTGCATCGCTTTTTCCGAGTTTATTCCAAGACTAGACTACCAGGAAAAGCTCGTTCAAATTGTTATTAAGCTCAAACAACAGCAGAACATTGGAGTCGTACTTGTGTGGTTATCAGGCGGGTATGCAAGAGCTTTTCTCCGCGAGACACACAAACAAGGCGTTCGCGACCGTACTTGGCTATTTAGCGACGCTATGACCGCCGAGGAAAGCGTGCATCTTGACCCGCGCTTTGCTGGACTCGATGGGTCACTTGGAGTTCAGCCTCAAGACTTCCGACACTTACCCTTTGATGAACATTTGAAGCACTTAACACGAAACGCAACATTGAAGAGAAATTCGGCATGGTGGGATGAGTTTTGGACACAGATCTGTAACCAAACACTGTCTGATTGTAAAGACAACATTTCTTCACATCATTTGATTAGGCAATTTCGCAGCTCATTTGTTCCGTACCTTTTAGATGCCGTGTACGCAGTAGCTCATGCTCTCGACAACATCTACAAATGCGTTGAACCGAACGGTCTTCTGCCTGAAGGAAAATGTCCTGGTGTTATACCCGTGAATGTTAGAAAAAGCCTCCCAAACTACCTTAAGAACGTAAGTTTTCACGGAGCCACTGGCAAAGTGCAATTCAACCATTTTGGAGATCGATTAGTGGCCTCCTACCATATCATCAATTTTCAGCGAAACAAACAGCGAGAGAAAAAGTACGAAAAAGTTTTGGTTGGGTCTTGGATGAAAGACAAGAATCCACAACTAACACTAAAATCAAATGTAGTATGGAACACACTTTTAAATCAAAGTGCTCCGCGGTCAATCTGCGCTAAAGACTGTTCTCCAGGAACCAGGCAGTCGCCAACCACGCCTTGCTGCTGGAAGTGTATCAGGTGCCCGCTGGGCAGCATAAGCACGCGTCACAACTCTCGTAATTGCGCCGAATGCTCACAAACACAGAAATCGAACGAAGAACGAACGCGCTGTGTTGATTTACCAATACTACGCATGCAAATGAACAGTGTGAGTGGTGTACTCGTAGCAGTTTTCTCTGCTGTCGGACTCGTCCTGACATTCATCACCTGGGGCACCTTGGCGAGGTATTTCAACACACCCGTAGCTAAGGCGGCCGACAGAGAAATGAGTTTGATCCTCTTGGTAGGGATCACTTCTCTGTTTGTCATACCTCTGTTGAATCTCTCCGAATCGGCCAACACAATCTGCTGCTTCAGTCACTGTGGACGTATGACGATTTGGATCATGTCCGTTGCCGTGCTTCTTGTAAAGACGATGCGTATTGTCAGCGTGTTTCAAGGTCACAGCGTCGTGCGGAATGCCAAGCCCTTTACCGCCAAAGCCAGTACACAGAGAGCTCTCCTGGCGACTCTTACCGCTGTTCAGATAGGTTTAACGGTAGTTTGGCTAATTACTGGCCCGCCTTACAAGAAAATCACCATCACTCATCTGCAGCACATTTCGATTGTATGCAAGGCATATTCTACCCTTATTGGAAAAAACATCTTGCTCGCAAACATCGCGTACGGAGTTTTTCTGTGGCTGTTTTGTGTGTATTACGCTTTCAGGGTGAGAAATATCCCCGAAAACTTCAATGAAGCGAGGCGCATTGGCTTCTCCATGTATATTTTATTTCTCTCCGTAATATCATATTACCCGGTAGCGTTCGCGATCGAAGGATGGTACATAACTGTGCTTGAATGCGCCACAAACATTACCAGTGCCTTAGGCTTCTTACTCTGTATTTTTGCACCGAGAATTTATATAATCCTGTTTAAGCCGAGACAAAATACAGTGTTTGTTTCTAGAGTACAAGTTGCTAACTATACGTTTACAACGGCGAAATACAGCGGTGCACTTGGTAACGGTTAAAACAAAGAAAAATTGTAAAGACATAATAGCGTCAGGCTGGTTTGAATATGTCTATGCCCTCACTCCACTAAAAACATCGCTCTATTCAACATCTCTCTCAGACTTACTTGGAAACTATTTCAATATTTTGGCTTTCGAGATTCTCCAAACACGAGATTGATAAACTTACCTCTGAACAGTACTGTCAGGCTATATACACAACCCACTCGGTTTTTGTAAAATCTTGGTATTTTCTGGGCCGTACGGGATTTGAACCCATGACCTCTGCGATTTCAGGTCCTATTTTCAACTACTAGTTCAGTAGTGTTCTTAGCTGCGAGGATCTCTTAAATTCGTCTCTTCACCGCAGTACAAATATATATTAATTTCACATATCTAAAATCATTATTCATCACTTGGATGGTTTATTTGGACCCAACTTATTGACCACCTCTCAGTTGGCTTGTTAGCTCATTTGGTAGAGCGCTAAATCGGTATCGCAAAGGTCATGGGTTCAAATCCCGTGCGAGCCTGATTTTTTTCAGGTCCTATTTTCAACTACTAGTTCAGTAGTGTTCTTAGCTGCGAGGATCTCTTAAAGTCGTAATTGGTTTTTGTTTTGCATCTGATTGGTGGAGAGGCGCAAGTAGCAGAGCAAAGTGGGGCAAAACAATGCAATCTTAGCTTACTTTCGACCAATTGAAAATAGCTCAAAATGTGAGTTCATTCTTGCTACTTTTCGTTTCTGCAAGCGTCATTTATCCATCTACTCTTTATTTCATTCAGTAATCTCTCCTAGTAATGTGAAAAAACGTCTCTTACCTTGTGATAAAAGGAAGAAGTACTACCACAAGGAAGGAGAAAGCCATTCCAACATATGTACATAGCAAAGGATCTAGTCCTGTCGCTTGTCCCAGTTTATAACTAAGCTCTGGAGAATAAAACACTACAACACCAGCCACGTGTGTTGCCATGGCAATAGGCACGACGCTTCCGATGTCAGGAGGATACTTCAAAAATGCTACCTGCAAAGTTAAGACATTCTGAGCATCTTACATACCATCATGATAGGCTTCAGCGGATTTTTTCATCACAGACGACAGTTTCAGGAGCTGCGTCATGGCTGGTGCATCTTGAAAAGTTTCGCTTAAAATTTTTAATTCCCATCATTTGTAATGTAAGTCAATCTTCTTCATCCATTATCAGCCTGGTTTCTTTATAGCTTACTCTTTTCTCTAGGCTGTGTATCGAACCTAACCAACTAATATTTTAAAAGGCAATTCACTTGAAAGGCAATTCTCTGCGGAGCTAAAAATGACTCTAAATACCGCGACCAACAGTAGTTCCTTCATCATTATAAAAGGCGCATGTTACATGTGACCGAGAAGGTCCGCCTCTCGTATTTCTCTTTCCTTTTTTCGACAATTTTGATTTCATTTTAAATTAAATTCAACAGGGTTGAAAATCAAATTGAAACTTCAACAAACCTCAACTTCTAAATTAGGGATTTCCTTTTCAGTATCACCACTTTTTTCTTCACGACTTTCCACCTCAGCTGTTTTAAATTTAGCTTCTTCCTTCGATGCTTCGTCTTGTGAGGTGTCCACTTTTGAGCCATTTTCTGGAGCAGACCCGGCTAATACCCACATCACGATAGCCATGATCAGAGGACCTAACAGAAGGCAGCCAAAGGGAGGCATGTACAGGCCAATTGATACATAGCGATTAGACTCAGGTAGAAGGTAGAAGAAGAATGATTGGTGAAATTGCTCCAGGAGGTTGTTCAAACTGCGGAATATACCCTCAATGACTCTGTCGAAGCAAGGAGCAAATATTTAAGCGTCGATAGAAAAGATTCCAGTATGACTATTTTGAAAGGGAAACTTAACTTAATCCGGGGAAACCTACGATGAACTAACTGTTAAATCATGTCTACAGTAAAACAAAATTATGCCAGTGATGCCTTACGACTAGCACGCTGAACACTGGGTTGAAAGGTGAGGCTTTCTTCATTGAGGATAGTACGAAATATCACAAAATAATCTAAATTTGGCCCTCGTGAAAGACAAGCGAACAGTGCTGAATTTTTTAACCCTTTTAGAGAGATAATGCAGCAGTATGCCATTCAGTGCCATTCAGAGCCACTCAGAGCCATTCAGTGCCATTCAGTGTCTTATTAACTATTTTAGCTTTCATCTTAGCTATTCTCTCCTGTAAACGGGTGAGTCCTTGCAAAGTCACTGTGCTATGTTCTTGGGTAAGACACTTAAGTCTTCCAGTATCTCTCTCTCCCTCTCCACCCAGGAGTATAAAATGGGTACCAGTGATCTGTCATGGAAGCCTGATGAAATTCGGGGGTTAATGTATCATGCAATGGAAACCAGGCTAAATTCTAGCTGGATGGGCAAACCGGCTTGAGAGCAGACTTCAAAACAATATTATCTGCTCTAATTGGTTCTTTAAGAATCAATGAAGTTTTATTAACCCCTTAACTCCCAAGATCTGATTGTTAATTCTCCCCTCTAGCTACTGCACATTTCCTTGTAAATCAGTTATGAGAATTTGGGGTTAGATCAAGATAACAACTTCTACCTGAAAAGTTTGATTATTCTCATAACCTGTTAGCTGGATAATGTATGGATAATTCAGGGAGAACTTACATGTTAATCACTTTTGGAATTTAAAGGGTTAAATGGAATCCTACCAACACCTGCCCACCTTCCAGTCTCCTGAAATCCACGCCCATACTGAAAGGTTTCTCCGCCACCCCTCATTGTAACAGCTTCAATACGATATCTGTGAAATAGGCCATGATTGCCAGAAGCCCTTCCAGAGGCCTGGTAAAACATCATTATCACCATGGTAACAAGGGATTGCACAGAATCTGCCCAGGGTCCCAAGTGTTCATGATATCCCTGTCAACATCAAATGACACAAACACTGTACAGCAACTAAGTGACAAAATGTATCCAAACATGCTGGAGAAAACTCCTTAGAGGGAAGTAACATGGTGCTAATGAGAAACTGTAGATCAGAGAATTCTTAGCCTACAATGCACAATCTTTTTGCTAAATTTTAAGGGCCTGAGCTTTTTTTCAATCACTCTAGGTAGTGAGTAAAAATAAATTTCTTACTACAAAGTACCTAGATACATTTCTGTGCAGAAAAGTGATCAGGAAGAAAAATATCAACAAGGGCAAGTTGACCAATTAATCACCAAATTCTCAAAGCTATGATTGGTAGAAATTCATGACAGATAATGCAGAGAATTCATTTGTAGAACTTGAGAGTGAAAGGCGTAATGAGGACTCGAATAAAAATAACCACTATGTACTCAATTATTTTGTTTGTAGTGATGATTTTCCCAGTGGGGCAGTCCTGGAAAAGATTTTGTCAGTGAAAAAGTATAAAATGTGAAAAATCTGAACAGAAGTCATCACTGATAAGTTGAAGTCATAAAGATTGACTCTTAAGATGACTTTTGCTCAAGATGGACCATGTAACAGGTAACCACGTTCAACTTGTGATTCAACAGCCCATTATAATTAAATACCCAACTGGTTTGCCTCTGTCACTGTACTAGAAAGGTTTTCTAATCATGTTTCTATTGACTTTGATTATCTGTTTAATTATCAGAGACACGATAGCTATCTTTTGAATGAATTCCAGGAAAATGATTTTTTAACAAAAAAAGTCATATACTAATACACTCTTTGTTCCCACTAAATAAAAAATCCAATTCACCTCTGTGTGTAGAGAAACTGGAACATGCTCTTTGCGACACATCCTGAACACGGTATTTACTAGATCAAGATTAGGAAGCTGTCCATTAATTCCTTCAATGGCAATCTTAAAGAAGTTCACTTTCTCATGCAGAAATTCCAAGTTCAGTGCAGCTTGTATGGAACCAGAATGTCCCTCAAGAGGAGCAGAAGAAATATCTGCAAATGGAAAAACAAGTTGTTTCAAGTACAATAAGAAAGGTGGTAAGTTTTGAGCTCAGTAAAGAAATAGAGAAAGAAGTTATTTCATCTTATCATGAGCTTGGAACAAAAAAAATTCTGAGTCCCCATGAGGAACTGAACTTCAGACCTTCTGATTTCTGTGCTCCGATACACAGAGCCACAGAGAAACACATTTATGAAACGCATCCTGCATACTGCTAGGATCAGCAATGTCAATGGCATCAAGTTTGGTAAACTAAAAATAATAAAGAAGGTAAGTTCTGAGCTCTTTACTTGGTATTTACTCTAGTTATTTCAACCTGTTAAATCAAAGTGTTTGAGTTGATTAAATCAACAAAGAAAGTGCAGGAAACTAATACCTACAAGAATTTGTAACACCATGGTATGCGTCAAGCCAAGCTTGCATACCAAGTTGATCTCTATCAGTCACAAGAAAAATGATATCCTTTGACCAGTAACTTTTCCCTGTGAAAAAAGATATTTCTTTTTAATTTATCAAAATCAAATACTGAAAAAGTAAAAAGAAAACAAGAAAAGAAAAGAAAATTGTACAGGATCCCCCCCCCCCCCTCAACTAGCCAGTTACATTGTACATTACAATTAGGCAGAGCGGGGCGACTAGAAACATGTACAGTACACAATTTGAAGATCACAGTGGACTTCCCTTTTTCTCAACAGAAACCATGCATGAGGAGCATAAACGGATGGGCATGAAGAAGAAGTATACACTTCTCATCCTGTATAACATTATATTTTACTTCATAATGTTTGTAAAGCTCTCACACAAAGTCTTCTTTGATAAAGAATGAATGTTTCAATATCTTAAGCTTTCTGGAGACAAACCAATGAAAGTGTCCATCCAGAGGAAAATCACAGCACTGTTCTTAACACTGTAATACCACTCCATGTGCGGGACATTAAAGCAGCTCAAGATTTGCTGGAGAAAAGCAATAGTCCCTTAAAAACACTGACTCCACTGAGGGCAGAGTCATTACCATCAGAGATAGAAAAATTTTCTTAAATCCTTCAGCACTATATGCTTGTGTTTTTTAAATATCATTTAATAGAAGTCATTCCCATTTAATTTAAGTCTTAGGAAGCAAAGTTGCATTAATTTGAAGCTTCTTAAAAGACATTTTTCAAACTTTGAATACCACTTTATACTCACTTCTACAATGGTCAGCAAATGACAACATTAGTGCTAAAGCTCCTTTATTGTTCCCTTGATTGTACGGAACACTGATAACGAGTGCTTCAGTGCCTGCAATCCTTGGAGCTCTAAGAATCCCATAAATGTTTACGCCATTTATCACATGTGGCTCAGAAATGCCAGGAAATGGTGTGTAAACTGTGAAGTTCTGTTGGTAAGTGTAAAGACCAATGTTTTCCATTGTGTTTGTGATCATCTGTGATGCAGCATTGCTAAAGAAAAATGGACATTATGTTGACTAATAAATAATGCACATGGTAATTGAAG